GAATATGAAGGAAAAATAATTATATAAAAGTAGAACTAAGCATTTACATATTTTTACAAAGAAATTTAGAAACCTAACCATATATAGAATTGTAAGTCCTTATTGTCCTATATCTAGGTCAAATATCCCAAATCCTTGGCTAACCCCTCACTGGTGGGTAGAAAGTGCAAGGCCACAAGGATCCTAGCAGAAAACAAAAGGTAGGAGGTTCCCTGAACAGAGCTTTCTGCTGCTGAGCAGAAAGAGCACAGAGTTCAAGTCATATCAGGTTAGAGAGGGATGGCACATTTTTCTCATAGCCAAATGACAGATTTTAGAGGTTAAATAGAGGATATTATGCAGCAGCTTATAAATTTTTTTTAAAAAGTAAGCATTTAAAAAGGTGAAGACTAAAAATAAAATAAGCTGGGGACATAGCTCAGTGGCATAAGTGCCTGCCTGGCAAGTGGAAGGTCCTGAGTTTGATCCCTGGTTCTGCCAAAAAAATAAAATAAATAAATAAAATAAAGATTGTTCTTAGCTTACAAGTGTACAAAAATAGGCAACAGGTCAAATTTGGCCCACAGGTCCCTTAAAAGGAAAGGCCAAGCCCCAGAACTAAGAGCTACTCCCTATGACTGAACACAAATTACAATAGCCTTATCTTACCAAAACTATAAATGAAGCTTCCATGAGGCTGAGGTGTCACATTTGTTAATTGGCTTTAACCTATTCTACTTTGTATTAATAAATTATATCACACTGTATCCCATAATACAACTACAATCTGTTAATTTACAATTTAAAAATTAAAATATATAAAAGAATATGATATGGAAAGAAACAGGACAACAGATTCTTAAAAGATTCAATTCACAAGAGAAATACAGTAAAAGAAATTAAATGGATTAATACTCAGCTATAAAGAAAGATAAACTTGAAGCTTTTATAGGTAAATGGATGTGACTAGACCATAAACATTCCTGAAAGAATAAATAAAATTTGAAAGGTACAATACATATTGTGAAAGGGAAAGAAATTGCTCGATAGGAAATAACAAAGGGATGAGGGAAAGGAGAAAATAAAAATACACACACACACACACACACACACACACACGACAGCTAAGATAACTGTCCTACTAATTTCTTTTATTGAAAGAAACAGTTAATGCTTAATTTTTTGCCTCATTTTGGAAGCTTATATCTGGTAATCTGAATAATTACGTTGAAGACAATAATATGTAATACAACAACTATTGTTTAATCCTACCATCTTTATTTGTGAAATTCTGTACTTCTAATTTTTAAAAAAAAATTATTCTCTTTTAAAAAATCTAACTTTGGAAGGCGGGAAGGAATAATTGATACTGCCTGGTATTCTGTCAAAAGGGTAGATGGGGTGATAGACACACTTTTTGGAGGACATTTAAATGTATAGTAACATTGTTTTGTGGTAGATTATCTTTTTTTTGACAAGTGTTTTATTGCAAATTACTGAATCAGAAAAAAAAAAAAAAAAAAAAAAAAAAAGAGAGAGATTAAGAACTGAGCATGGTGGTACACTTCTGTAATTCCAGCCCTTGGGAGGCTGAGGCTGAGGAGGATCAACTCAAGTTTGAGGCCAGCCTGAAACGAGATTGTCTCAAAAGTTTAAAAGTTGATAAAATCCCTAGCAAGGCCAATGAAAAGGAAAGCTCAATGTCATGAATGTAACATTAATGAAAGAAAGAACTTAACTTCAAATCTTACAGACTTTAAAAAGACAGTATGATTAAAAAAAGAGAGAAAGCGTGTGCTATTTTAAACAATTTTATGGTAAAAACTTTGACTTTCACATAAAGGAACAAATTCATTAAAACCCTAATTTTCCAATACAAACAAAAACCAATATCCTACTGAGATACGCTTGCAAAGGAAAGCTCGTATAGCTTTAAAAACATGACACATGGTATTTCAAAGGAAGGGATATTGGTAGGCATAAGGGACATTTCACATCAGTAGGTCCTAATAGTCCTAAATGTGTGTGTATCTAGTAACACAGCTTCAAGATAAATAAAGCATAAATCATCAAAATGAAAAGGATGAAGGGACAAACCTGCAACTGTAGTTGGGAGAAATTTTTTTTTGAGACAAGGTCCTATTATATTGCCCAGGTTGGTTTCAAACTGCTAAGGTCAAATGACCACCTGTCTCAACCTCCCAAGTAGCTGGGATTACAGGTACTGCCACCAAGCTTGGCTAGGTGGGGATTTTCAAAACTCGTTTCAGTAACTCAAAGAGCAAAAGGACTAAAAAATAAAAGTGCAGAGAATGCAGAGCACTCTTAACTAATGCGATCCCGTCAACATTTATAAACCACCATACTCCAAAACTGCAAAGAAAACTTTCTTCAATGAGCACAGAGCATTCAGCAAGACAGGTCATTCTCTGACCTATGAAACAAATCTCATAAAAATTAAACGATGTGAAATCATACAGAGTACACTCTCAAAAGTGCCACAGTGCTGTACTTGGATTTGGATGTCTTCCAAAGTCCTGTGTGTGCCCAGGGCAGGGTGTGTTCCTCAGCTGTTCACTGATCTGATTGCCTATAGAAGGGCCTGGCCAGAGGAGTGAGGTCCCTGGGGCTGTGGCCAGAAGGGCTCTTGTCCCTGGCTCCTCCCCCTACTCTGCACCTCCTGGCCATGGTGATGTGAGCAGCTGTGCCCTTTCACTGTGCCACTTCTGTCTTGGAGGCAGCTGGCCAGGGACTGGGACTGTCAGCCACAATAAACTTCAGTGGTGGTAAGGTCATAGAGACACACAGTATTAATCAGAAGCAATTCATAGACCGAAAAGAATCCAGAAATTCTCATGTATTTGGATGTGAAGAACATGTCCAGAGAACTCATAGGCTGATATAAGAAAGGGATCAAGGGAAATTATAAGCTACTACAAAATGAATGGTAATAAAAGCATGTCAAATATAGCTGTAGCTAAATTACTGCTTAGGAAGAAATCTATCACTTTTTGTTTCTGCTTTTTGAGATGAGTTCAGCGGTACCTATGGATTCACTATGTTGCCCAGATTGTTCTCAAACTCTGTTCTGCCTCAGCTTCCTAGAGTGCTGGGATTACAGGTATATACCACCATACCCAGCTAAAATTTAGAGTTTTAAATAAGTGTACTGGATGAAGGATTTAAAATGTGAGACACCAAGCCAAGAAACTAAAAAAAGAAGAACAAATTAAAGCTAGAAAGTAGAAGGGAAGAAATAAAGATACGGACAAATCAATGGAATAGAAAACAAATAAGCAGTACAGAAATTCAATAGGTTTTACCCACTTATATTGAAGGCAAATGTTTTCTGTTTTTGTTTTTTGATGTATTTATTTATTTTTGGCTGAACCAGGATTGAACTTATTCTACTGAGCCATCTCCCCAGCCCTATTTATTTTATTTTTTTTTGTGGCTGGCTCAGCCTGCCCTAGAGGTGGGGCTGGCAGGGCATGTGGTACTGGGAATCGAACCGTGGTCCCTGCACTTGCCTAAGCAGGCACGTTAGACCGCTGAGCTATCTCTCTAGTCCTAAAGGTTTTTTCTTTTCTTTTTTTGGTATTGTGAATCGAATTCAGGACCCTGCACTTGCCAAGCAGGTGGTGTGCCACTGAGCTATACCCTCCTCCCCCAAAGTTGATTTTTTTGTAAATAAACAAGAAAGATGAACATAAAATAGCGAAGAAATACAAATTAATATGAGAAATAAAGGGTTCTCGATACACCAAAATGATTAATATGAAACATTTTAAACAACTTTATGCCAAAAAATTTGACACTATAAAACTCCACAAGGGCCAGCCAGATAGCTCAGTGGACAAAAGTGCCTGCTTAGGCAGAATCAGGGGCCAGGGGTTTGATCCCCAGCCTGCAGTCCCAGCACCGCCCCCAGGGTGCGCTGAGTTGGAAATTGAGACTGGGCATGGTGGCATGCATCCGTAATCCCAGCACTTGGGAGGCTGAAAATAGGAGGATCACTATTAGTCCGATCTGTGTAGTGAGACCCTGTAGACCCTGTACTAGCTACATTAAAACAGAAAATAAAAACAAAAAACAAAACACTTGACAAATTCCCTAAATATTTAGACCTACTTCTCCAAAATAATGCAAGTAATAGAAAACCGAGGTTTTATGGCCTAATTAAAAGATGTGTTTAAGGGCTGGAGAGCTAGCTCTGTGACCTAAGTGCCTGTGTAGCAAGTGCAAGGACCTGTGTTTGATCCCTGGTACTGAATACCAAGCTGGCCCATGCCAGTCCCAAAACCAGGAGTGGTGGCACACACCTGTAATCCTAGCGCTGGGGAGGCTGAGACAGGAGGATTACTATGAGTCTGAGCTATGTAGTGAGACACTGTACCAAATACATAGATTAAAACTGACTATGCATTTAAACACCTTTTTGTAAGGGCTTTGCTCTTACACAACACAGCTTCCAAACCTTCACTACATATTCTGTTGCTCTGCTTGTTTTCAGCAGAGCTGTGCACTCTGGTTTTTGACACTATCGTGTTTGTATTCGAACTTACCACCTAGGAAAACAAATGATACAGGATGTGAGAAATCTGAGCAGTTGGCTGATAATACTATTTGCTTTTGTGATTAGGAACCAAGGCATCTTTTTTATTGTTTTCATCTTGATAATTCACAAAGCAATACTTAGTAAATAATTTAAACAGGCTTTGGTGGCCCACACCTATAATCCCAGCATTCAGGAAGCTGAAGCAGGAGGATCTTGAGTTTGAGGTCAGCCTAGGCTATACAGTCAAAATCTTGTTTCAAAAACAAAAAGCAAAAACCAATACCAAAAACCAATAAGAAGTAACAGCTAAATTATAACCACTGTACAAAACTAGTGATTTTATTTTCATTTTTTTGTTTTTTATTTTTTGAGACACGGTCTTGCTCTATTGTCCAGGCTGGCCTGGGACTTGCTATGCAGCCCAAGCTGGCCTTAAAACTTACCTAGTTTTAATGCTCTCCTGCCTGAGAGAGTACAGTAGAGGTTACAATAAAGCTTCCTGGGATTAAGACTTCCTACGTCAATGGTACTTATTTATTACCTTTCGCAGTGGTCCATGCTGCTTTTTGTACTTCTTGTTCCAAGATATTCCTATATTTTTTAAGAGTTTCTGGCCTAGCTGATCAACAGGAATTAGATTATTCTCCTCCTTATGAAAGAAATTCACAGTTATTTAAGAAAACCTGATGAGAAATAATTGCAACACAAATCCAAAGAGATCAACAATTAAATGTGCCCCAACTACAAACATGGTAAGTGGACTAAGCATGATTACTTTATTATGTATTTTTTTTTAAAAGTACCTTAAGCCTCAGTTTAGAAAACCTGAATTTTGCCACTTCCCAGGCATCACAGCTTAACCATTAAAAGAACAATAATCTAAGGTTTGGTAAATTCCTGTCATTCTTTAGAAGAAATACTTAAGCGTTAAAATTTTTTTTTTTAATCTGACTATTTCAAAGTACAAATATGTTCTAAAAGATAGTAATATATATTTGTTTCAGAATGAATTGTAGTTCCTCAAAACCGATAGGTGGAATCTTTAATCTCTGGTACTTCATAATGTCACTTTGTATAGAGAAGGAGGTTCTGAAGAGTTGATTAAATTAAAAAAAGTTTCCATTTTAGGAAAAAGAATCTACTGCAACGTGATGTCCTCATATAAATACACGCGCCCCCTTCTACCTGTAGTAAGACCGCTTTTAGAACTGTCAATGGATCGTCAATGTCTTCTTCATTCTGAAGAGCTTTCAGATTATTATCTGGCTCCTAGGAATAAAAGTAACAGTTTTCTATTGCAAATCTCCATAAATAGTGGTAAAAACATCACAGCAATCTATGTATGCTTTGGATTCAGGTACTCTTGGCCTGGTGATCCAAGTTTCACTGAACAATTCTGGACAGATTAATCTCCCCAGCTTTATCTGCAAAGTAGGATGATGAGATGAGTAAAAATTCTGTCCCAAAATACATGGCAGATTCCAGAACTTTCCAGCAAGGCACTGCTCTGGCCGTGCCCCATGTTAATTTGGTGTCTGGGTTTGCATTCTCATTTAGCTCAAAACATTTTCTGGTCTTCCACCTAGTCTGTTCTTAACCACTTGTACTGGGCTGAAGAAATGCTACTTATTTTTGCAGGCTCAGCCTAAATATTCTCTTCCTGATCACTCAAGAAATTTATTGGGCCAAGGAGATGGCTCAGTAGAATAAATGCTTGCCTGGTTCCGCCAAAAAAAAAAAAAAAGAAGAAAGAAAAACAAATTTATATTCCATTTGATGATGGTATTAGGGAATATATCAAAATCCCCTTGTTTAGCAATTTTTATTGGCTTTCTCCCTCTATACAGCATCTTTTTATGTTTTGTTTTGTTTTTTGAGATAAGGTCTCCCTATGGAGTTCAGGCTGGTCTTAAACTCACTATGTAGCCTAGGCTGGCCATGAACTTGTGGTGATCCTGCTGCCTCAGCTTCCTAAGCGCTGGGATTCCTGGTGTGCAACATCATGCCTAGCTTGAGCTTCTATTTTGATGTTCATAAGGTCAGGGTTTGGTGCAAATGCCTAAGCTTGGTCCTTAAAGTTATTCTTTAAAAATAGCACTTACTAAGCAACTACATGTAAATAGTTGAAGGAGATAGAACTGCCAAACTATCAGCAGAAAGAACCCTCCATGTCTATGTTTGGGATACTTCAAACCCTTTGTCTCTAGGTATAGGAGGCCTCCTCGTTCATGAAGAGACAAGGAGTGTCCAGCAAGTGCACTTACTAAAGGGGAAATCATTAAACCATTATTTCAACACCACAGGGCTCTGGATGAAAAGCTAGTGATTTTTAAAGAACAGAACAATAATAAAAAAATTAACAAGTTGCTCCCTAGACACCACAAACAGGAAAATATACGCAGCTTCCCATGTAGAGAGCAAAGCACATAAGAGAACACCACCTGTCTCAAGTCATATGACAGAACTAGACGATCCTGACAATGTTAGAAAGTGCTAGTTAGTACTGAAGAAATGAATGCAAAATAAAAATGAGAGATTCAATATGCCATAACACTAAAACAATCACCATCTTCAAATACACTGTCTCACCAGAGTGGGGGAAGGTACTATGTCTGCAATTTCAATGATAAGCCTGAAAACAAAATCACGAACAGGTACTTGTGCCTCAAAAAGTCAGAGGACAAATGCTGCCAGCTAGAATAATGGCTCAGCTACTGGCACAGGGGGAGGTGCACTTTCTCAGACCAGAGACTGGGAAAGAGTGAAGAAAGCCCAAAATAGATGAAGGCCTAATTGAAGGAAAGAAACACAACTACAGTGGGAGTGGGCAAGAGAAAAACAAAAAGAGAACATCATAAACACTTACCAGACCTGGTGACAAGCTTTCATCAGATCAAATGATAGCCTCAACTTCATTTTAGAATGACCTAAACCTACTATAACTTAAAAGTGACAAGAGAGGTAAGGGTGCCCATTCCAGGGCCTAAGATTCTTTGCTCCAGGAACTTGAAAAGTGCAAGACAGCAGTGCCGCGTGGTAACTTGGAGCAGCTTAAACACAACAGGGAACACTGGGCTGCAACAGACCAGACTAGGGTGAGAAGTACTCCGGGAGATCCCTCAAAGGCTGTCCTGGTAAATTCGGACAAGCACTTAACAGTGCTTGCATGGAGTTTTCAGCCAGAGCTGGTGTGCTAGCCACTATAGTAAGGTCAGTAAAAGAAATGCAAGAAAAGGGGTTGGAAATGAAAAAATGCACTGCCTTTTCTTAGATGCCACAATATAAGACAGTTTAGCAAAATTACTTATTATAAAACCAATTATGCTGGGTAAGGTGTGGTGGGGCACACCCTTGGGAGGTTAAGGCAGGAGGATCACTGTGAGTTTGAGGCCTGCTTGGGCTACATAGTGAGTTTAAGTCAGTCTGAACTATATAGCAAGACCCTGTTTCAAAACCAAGCTAATAAACAAATGAAAAATCCAAAAAGCTGCTGGGCAAGGGGGCACATGCCTGTAATCTCAGTAATGGGAGGCTGAGACAGGAGAATTGCCATGAGTCTGAGGCCAGCCTGGGCTACACAGTGACCTGAAGGACAGCCTACATGACAAAGCAAGATCCCCTTCAAAAAAGCAAACAAAACCCAAAAAGAAACAACAAAAACTTGAAGACTAATACACTAAAGATAACCCCATTTCAACAGCTAGTTGCAATAGTTCAAAAGACATACAGTAGAGGCAGAGATCCATACAGCCTCTTTCTGGTAACCATTTTCTTCCTACTGTATAACACAGTTTGCCTTTTTACATCCAAACTTCATAGAATACATGTATCTCTTGGCACACTCCAAGTACAACCAGCATAACATTAGAAATACAAATAGATGACTGGAAAGAGTCAGTAAGGGAGTGTCAATAAAGGAGATATGAATTATAGACATTACTGGCTCTAAGGGAAGCCATGCTATCTCAAGTGAAGAAACTGTTTATAAGCAACAGTTGTGACAAATACTCTGGGAGTGATGTTTAAGCATTTTACATCCTAACATGATTTTGACTTAAACACAGATGGCTTATTGTGTTTTAGTTTTATTTACAAAACTTTGTAGAAAGCTTTGGGTTGATGTCTGTGTAAGATATCATAATTTCATACAAACTAGATTCCAGTCTGTACTTTGCTTCACAAATTCTTGTGTGTGTGTGTGTGTGTGTGTGTGTGTGTGTGTGAGCATGCAGGGTCTCACTACACAGCCGACTTGTAGTGATCCTTCTGATTTCTGCCTCCCTTAGTGCTGGGATTATAGGTGAGCGACACCACGTCTGGACTCCACTGCCGGCTCAGTGCGCCCATGGGCAGGGCCAGCATGGCATGCAGAGGCAGGGATTGAACCACGGCCCCTGCACTGGGGAGGCTGAGATAGCAGGATCACTGTGAGTCTGAGCTGTGTAGCGACCCTGTACCAAATACATTAAAAAAAAAAAAAAAAAAAAAGAAATCCTACAAGTTTTAATTTTTTAAAGATGTCACTCAAGACAGCTACATACTGTTCACATATGATGATTCTGTGTGCGTGTGCATGCGTGCAAGTGCATACTTCCACAGATGACAGCACTGACAAGGGATTCTAGCAAAGTGCACAGGAGCATAAAGAACCAAACAAGCACAAATTTCCTGATAAAGCTGGCACAGTATGGATTCTTCAATAAATGAATAATTTTTTCAAACTGAAAAAACACCATTCATGGAAAATCATTCTAAGAGAATCAGAGTGGTTTTTTTTTTTTCCCCATAATTTTACTGAGAAACAAATAGCAATGAGATAGTTTCAAACCAAATTGGTATGACAGTTTCAATAATTAACACATTGCATACTCTCTTCCTAATGGTTATTTGCTGTACAAGATGCAGACATGATATCCTATTTACAAACGCTATTAGAACAAATCCCTCTATTCATTAAGAGAATGTAACTATGTATCTATCCTAACCACTTTGAATACACAGATACAAAATGGACATTCATCTGTATCCCCCTTTTTGTTAAGTTCTGTCATTTGAATATTATCGGTGTGTAAACTCAGCAAAATATTCTAAAAGAGTCCAGTAGCCAGAGTGTGTTTTATTTTGCTGTTAAGTGGCCCCAGGGAAGGGCTAAATGTCATTTAGTTGGTGTCAGTGAACACTGTTTTAAAGAGTACTTGTAAACGACATAACACTGTAGTCATATTAAATGGGATAAAATTCATCCTGGTTTAAAGCCAGCTGTGAAAGCTATAGGCAGGTGATTGTATTTATGACATTTTTTGTTATAATATGCAGGATACAAATCCTATGGTAAGTTATTTAAAACAAAGCTCATTTTAGTTTTTGGGAAAAAAATCTGTACTTTGTAGTTACAGGGGAGTGCTATTTCTTTTTATCAAAATGGAGGAATTGTAAAGCTGAGGGTGTTTCTAGATAAGAGACTTAAGACAAGGCTAACTAAGTATGATTCATGACATTAGAGTTGATATAAGAGAGGGAAAAACAATTCCATAAAGGATGGTGACTTGGACAACTGATGGAATTTGAATGTAATTATAGTGGTACTTCAGTTTACAAACTTAATTCTTTCCATGTTTCTGGAATGAATTCTGTGACCAGAATGGTGGAAAGAACTAAGTTTGTAAACCGAGGTATCACTGTATTATATATCAGACAATAGCAGTATATTAATACTTAAATTTCCTGATTCAGAGCTCATGCTTAGGTAAAAGAATGATCCTGTTTAGGGCAGATAAACAATGAAATAATTGGGGCAAAATGGTCTGGAGTGTTCACCATAATTTCAAATGGCTCAGTACTAATAATAACAGTAATGTTAACGTGCAGAGGTGCATGCACACATGCACAAATGTGAAAAAGTTGGTACAGGAGGTATTTGGACTATTCTAAACTTTGCACATATAAAATTACTTAGAAACAGATACTTAAGCTGGACATGGTGGTTTATGCCCATAATACTAGGGGAAGCTGAGGCAGGAATATGAGCACGAGCTCAAGGGCAGTCTGGGCTCCAAGGTGAGTCAGGGCTAACTTGAGCTACGGAGCAAGACTTCACCTCAACCACCACCACCACCACCACCACCACCACTACCAGACAAAAAAACAAAGAAAAAGAAATAAAAATTTAAAACAGACATGTATTCACTTTCAGTGCCCATCAAGTTTCTATATGATGTATATATAATAAATGGAAAAAGATGATCATCAAATATTTTTGTACTTACTTGAAACTGCCAGTTTCCCAGATGATCAACATCTTTAATATATACATGATAATGTCCTCCATAGCAGCCACCCTTGTGTATAATGACCGAGAAGAGGTCATATATATAGTCTAAGTCATTCAATTTACTCTGAAAGAATGGAAAATAAACACTGATATGGTTTATGCAAGATGATAAGATACATAACCAAAGAGAAAAAAAAAAGAATTTTTTTCATTGTTGTCATTTTGAGACAGGGTTTCACTACACAGTTTCAGCTGGCCTTGAGCTTACTCTGTAGCCCAGGCTGGTCTCCAACTTGTAATGATCCTCCTGCATCACCCTCCCAAAGGCTGGGATTACATGCGTGCACCACCATACCTGGCTAAAAAAAGGATTTTAACTACTGAAATTAGTAAGAAAGTTCTTGTTATCAAAGGTAAGTGAAGATAAATTTAAGTAACTAGGTTTTTTTTTTTTTTTTTTGCTTTGTTTTAAAGTAGGAACAATTTATTGAGAGAAACAAAGCTTCTGTCTGAGAGGGACAGAAGCATACCTGGAAAGTGGGTTGCCTCTAACTAACTAGTTTTGGCTGGCTTCAACCTTGAAATGATCCTTCTGTCTCAGCCTCTTGCTGCTGGGATTACAGCATGTAATACCACGCCTGGCTAAATTTTAAAATTCTTCTTTTAAATTTTTGTATTTTTTAGGGAAGGGTCTATAGGGTGCTCAGGGTCTTAACACTAAGTCACACTCATAGTGATCTGCCTGTTTATAGCCTCCCAAGAGCTGGGATTACAGGTGCACACCACCATGCCCAGTCTCAATTGCCCATCTCAGTGTGTCCCGGGGCAGGGTCTGCACAGCAGGCCCAGGGATGGAAGCCCCGCCTCTGTGCCTAAAATTCTTAATTTCCTACCAATCGCGACATTCCATCACTTTATGTCCTAAGTGTGAACATGTGTATCTGAAAGACATATTATCTTTAGGTGCTTTGGCATTTTTATGTAAGGTGACCTGACAACATGTAATCCTCTTAGTGAGTGTGTGGGTACAGTTTTAGCAAAGGAAAGCCATGGCTGTATATCTATTGTGCTGCTTCACATGCAAGACCTGCTAAATGTACTACATTCCAGTCACCTCACCGGAAGCCTCTACCAAACCAGGCTATCACCCCTCAATTCAATCCTCCACACAGAACAGGACTTAGCGAGTGTAACCACCAGCTGGCCCAGGGGACAGGCAGTTTAATGGAATGAAGACTTCACTGCTTTGTTAATTCTATTATTAACCTGTTCTGTAATTAAACATAAATGACCCAACAGTTAAAACTCTAACTTAGCAATTAGAAATAAAACAACATGTCTCTATTTCCAGCTACCGGGGAGTTGAAGCAGGAGGAAATTTTGAGCTTGGGGCCAGCTTGGGCAGTTCAGCAAACTCTTGTCTCAAAATATAAAAAATGAAAAGGATTGGGGATATAGTGTGCTGCTCCCTGAGTTCAATCTCCAACATGAAAACAAAAATGGAAATCCAAAACAACAAAACCTCCCGGCACCAAACAACAACAAAACATCCAGGCTGAGAGGTACTATAAATCCCTCATGCAGAAGAAAAAGGAAGCTTCCTGCAACATAAGATGGACATGTGTGCCACCTAAGGGGCGCTAGTTATTTGAGAAACTTAATTATATAAAATGCACTTTTCAAGTGGGCTAAATTTAAGAATGAAATGCTCAGGCAAAAGACAACAGAGACATACACAAAGACACAAAGTGATATTTTTCTTAATATAGAAATTCAAAAGTAAATTTAATGAAGATTTCCTAGACAAGTTTATTGGTTTTTTACCTGAAAATCAGGTGACATGGCCAGGGGTGTAGTTCAATGGTACAGTATTTGCCTGGCATGCAAAAGGCCCTGGATTTGATAATCCTAGCTGTGCTGGGGTGTGGGCGTGTCATATGATAAACTGTATCTCATAAGATTATGGGCAAGTATCTTTAACTAATTCTGCGAAAATTATTTATTGTGCTCATGCCAAGAGTCAAGTCAGGAGAATCTAGCGAGCTTGAGGCCAGGCTGAACTACACAATGGGACCCTGTTTCACAAAACCAAGAACAGTCAATCAATCAGCCTCAAAATCCAAAGAATGAGAATCTTCAAGTAGTAAACAATGAAACAAAACCCAAGGCTCGGGTTAGGGAGAAGCTCACTGGAATAAATGCATGCCTGGCAAGTGCAAGGTGCTGAGTTCAATCCCTGGTACCTAAAAAAAAAAAAAAAACCAAAAAACAAAAAAAACCAAAAAACACAAACAACTCCCAAAGGCTCAGTAATAGCCTTATAATAGAAAATGTATCTAGAAAAGTTTGGATTAAGGAATGTTTATGAAAGATTACTTTTCAGTAGTTAGCAAACACATACTCTGTTCTTCAAAAGAATGATTTGTAATAAGGAACATAAGGCTCAATCTTCTTATCTGAGCAAATATAATAAAGAATTTAAAAGAGCTTGTAAAGCAGACTTCTTTAATAATAGTCTGTTTTCTAAACGCTTTCTTTCTTGGGTTGACGGGATTACAAAGTCTAATTTTTTCATTTGTTCTGTAGAGCTGGGGATGAATCCAGTGCCCTGCACACACTAGGGAAGTGCTCTCCCAGTGAACAACAGCGCCATCTATTAATTCTAGAATAAAGTTCTATTTGCTTGTTCACTTTCTAAATAGTTAATTCAATATTACAATTAAAATAAACTAAATACAAATAGCAAAGTACTGATGGATAATTTTTTTAAAAAAGCAGGGCTAGCATTTCTAATTTTGCTTGGAAATTTTCATTTCAAGGATTTTTCAAGAAGCAACAGAGAACAAATCCAAACTTTAGAAATTCAAAATGACTGTAAGTACAGTAAATCAGAAGCTCTCGGCTGGGGTACTTGTGTCCAATTTTGCTGAATCCCTCCTCCCAGGAAACATAGATTTATTTATTCAAATTGTTTATTTATTTATTTAGGCAGAACCGGGGATTGAACTCAGGTCCTTGCGCTTGCCAGGAAAGTGCTTAATCCAATGAGCCATCTCCCTAGCCCCAGGAAACACAGATTTTTGGCCATAAACGAAAACATTTGTGGTGGCCACATGTGGGAGGCAGGAGCAGAGTTGCTGCTGTCACGTAGAGGGCAGAAGCTGGGGATGCTGTGTACTTCCCATAACCTGGGGGAGTCCCTGAAACAAAGGAGCACTGTAGCCAAGGTGCTAACGGTGTCAAAGTTGAAAGATTCTGTGGTAAACCAACTGAAAATTCAGGTCACGAAAGATTTAATTTTGGGAGGGGAAAAGAAGTAATTTAAAAATGAAATAGTTCAAACCTGTTCACAAAAAGGCTTGAGGTTGATCCGGAGAGGGAATGTGTAACAGCTAGTTTCCTTGTAGCGTTCACACTTTACAAAATCAAAATTAAATCTTAGTAATGAAACCGTTAGAAAGGGAGGCAGTTTACGCAATTTGGCCGACTGTTAAAAAGAAAAAAATTTAAAAAGCAGTTATATCGAAGTACATAAAATGTTATTTCAGGTATGAAAAAATAACATGACACAATTTTACTAGAAATCTGTTCTTAAATCACAATAAATTCATTACTATGGTTAATTCTTGATGTAAACTCTTAACTACTGCTACATTACTCTTGCTATGAACTCATCTATCTTATGGTACTAAGGGTGCATCACTCATTCAGGCGTACAACTGAAAGTCTGCACTCGTTCTGTTTTCGGTGCTGCTACTCCAAAATACTATTTGATGAGCATGTTACCAGTGGCTGTTCCCTCTCCCTCCGCCTATCTGCCACCCACCGCCTGGTGGTCACACAGTTCCTATGCAGTGGTGTGAAAATTGTATGTGTATGTATACATGTATTTTTCTGGGGAAAAGAGCCACAGTTTTCATTTTACTTTCAGAAGTACTCAATTAAAAGGTTAAGATCTATTGATTAAAAGTTTTATATCTACTCTTAAATCCAAAAGCAGGTAAGACTTTTATGTTCTTTTTAAATTCTTTGCTTTAAAACAAAAACACTAAAGCTTACACATTGGTACACACCTGTAACCTTAGCCCTCAGGAGGCTGAACCAGGAGGACTGTAAATTTGAGGCCAGCTTGTACTACATACAGAGTTCAAGGCTCAGCATAGATTACATAGTGACAGCCTGTCTCAAAACCAAGCCACTAAATTATGCTGCTTTTTACTTAAGTTATCAATTGTCCCAGCCCTCTTGGATTAATGGCTTGACGGAGGGAAAAATCCTCTCTCTATAAAATTATTTATAATATAAATATAATGTTGCTAAACATATACTTAAAATAATAGCTGCAGAAATCTAGCGGGTAAAAAGTTCATCAAAAAGCTCTAGGCCAGATGTGTTGGCATATACCTATAAAATCCCAGCATTTGGAAGGATGATGCAAGGGGACTGAAGTGAGTTCCAAGACCAGTTCAAAGGAATACACAGCAAGACCTTCTTCAGAAAAGATTGGCCAGGGAGATGGCTCAGCAGCAAAAGCGCTGCCTGGCAAGCGCAAGGTCCCAAGTTTGGTTCCCAGTACCAAAGACAACACAACTGGTAGACAACAAATTTGAAAGATACATCTAAGTAACTCAACTGTAACACGGCTGAGAAAAAATTGCTCAGGACAAAAAAAAAATCTCAATTTATTTAGGAAACTTAAACAGTGAAACCCAAACAGAATACCATAAATCTAGTGCAATTAGAGTAACACTGTAAATTTTAAAAGTATCAAGATCAAAAGCTGCCATTTAAGCTCAGGATATAGCTCAGTGGCACAGTGCCTGCCTGACAAGTGCAAGGTTCTGAGTTCTAGTCCTGGTACCAGAAAAATATAGTTTCTATTCATGGGCCAGGTGTAGTTGCATATGCCTGTAATCCCAGAACTTGCATGTCTGAGGCAGGTTTGCTTCGATTTCCAGGCTAGCCAGCGGGACCCTGTCTCATAAAACAAAACAACAATTTCATTGAAAAATGAATGATATAAAAGGCATTATAAAGACTTATTTTAGCAAAAGCTTGTTTTAATTAAGTGCAAGTTAAGATAAACCAAAAATGAAGAATATGTAAATAAGACTCTTCCAAACTGTGAAAGTTTATAATTATTCCTTTTACTAGATTATAGCTGTAATATCAAAGGTAAAATGCAAAATAAATAGTTTAGTGGTAAACTTCTCCTTAGGTTTCAAAGGGGCCAGGGCTGGATGGAAATATATGTTACAAAGTAAAAAAAACTCACCTGATTTTCAATCCTATTGTGAAAAATATGGCCACAGTTTTTATTATATTTTCTTCTATAATCATCAGAACATAATATCTGAGTATCTGAATATCCATTTCACTTTTTTCAAGTACAACTTGAACTTTTCATTCATTGTCAGCTCTAAGGAACAATGTTCTCTTTGATACTGCTGAGTAACTGCACTGACATCTTTTTGGTAGCTGTTCAGTAAGACAATCTTCAGTAGCCAGGGACTAAACTGAGCTCGTTTCTGATGCTAATGAACAGCCTATCCCATCCTCCATAGCAGGGGACAGCTACCAGTGTCATTAATGACAGCAGCAGCAGCACTGATGCTGTATTGTTCATGGGTACAGGAGCTGAGGGGAAAATGTCAGAGATGACATATCTGAGCTAGACGGATGGAAAATGGCATCACTAATTTACACACACAAAGACACATGTACAAAACGTAATATGCTTTCTTTATACCGACTGAAATGAATTAGTAGTACTTAGCAATTTACTCACATTAATAATGCTTTTGGTGGAAATGAACTGTGCAAAAAATATTTTTCTAAAGATCTGTCCTACATAGGAGAACCTGTACTGTAACAACATGTAACTCAGTTGTGCTCCAAATTTTCTGATCAAGATTATGGAGCCACAGATAAATGTGTTCGATGATGTAAAGTGAGCCTGGGGAGAGTCACATGGAGAGAAACAACATTTTCTTAGGCTTTCACAGAAAGCAAATTGGTCAAGCAATGGCCATGACTCATCCACATGTCTGACACTGACAAAAGGATGTACAAAGGGCGGTACAGGGCTACAGGATAAATCCTGAGAGTACTTGGCTGACCTTATCAGATACAAAAGTTACATTTCTTGTTATATAGGTTTTGCTTTATCTTGGTCTTAACCATCCAGCAGAAAAGGATAAAAATGAGGTATATAAAATAAATCCATATTAATACGATGAGCTGTAAAGGGTTCAAGTCAATAACTTCTGAGGATAACCCACTAATATTATAGACTGCTAGTCAGTATTAGATTGTTTATTTGAATTCAAACACCTATAGTATTTAGATGCCAATAGAATATTCACCTCTGACAGGACAAAAAAAAAGGTACAAAGGAAAGATCATTTTGTATTTATATATACAAAATAGGATACACTTATAGCTACTTTCGCTTAATTCAATGAGAAGAAAGAGGTGTACTAACAGTGTTTGGACAGAATATCCTATCTGCTTCTTGTACTATGGATAACCACTAAGAAGATAACAATGTACAGTATACTGACTATCAAAACTGTCCTATTAATCAACTGTGAAACTGTCTCATTCATATTTATTTCTCAATAAAAAAATAAATATATAAAAAAAAAAGATCTGTCCTATTAACCAGGTTGGTGGTGAACACCTGTAATCCCAGCACTTGGGAGGCTGAAGCAGGAGGATTGCTGCAAATCTGAGGCCAGCCTGGTCTCAAAGTGACTTCAAGGACAGCAACACCTTTTCTCAAAAAAAAAAAAAAAAAAAAAATCTGCCCTGTGAAGAATTAATTACTCAGATACCAAACTCCCAGAAACCACATAGGTAAGATACTCTAGACTTAAGAGCTGAAGGACTTGGCTAGTAAGCCTTGGAGGCTTTACATCAACACCATGACAAAAACATAAGGATTAGCCTGGATTTTGGAAATGCCAGTGTCATGGCAAGGGAAAATTTATGATGCACAAAAGTAACACTGTGTGTGTGTGTGTGTGTGTGTGTGTGTGTGTAGTCTGAAGTAAACAGTAACAATTTCTCATTTCTTGTCGAAGTTTCTCTTCCTTCGTAGATTCTAAAATAACTATGAATTATATCTGCAGAAATAACTGCATGAAAGTGATGAAACAACCAGAATTCTATTGATTTTATTTTTCTCTTAGCTCAGATTGCAAAAGAATGCAGTTGCTTTAATACTGTCTCTCTTTCACCTTGTATTTTCCTTTACTGCATAAAATACTCTGCTGAGGCTCATAATTACCAAGGTAAATACTCCCAAATGGAAAAGGGCATATTGGAATTGCTAGAGTGAGCAAAGAAACACATAAAGATTATAAAATAACTGCTTATTGAGGAAATGAAGACAGTCACTTGTTTCCCCAGCACCATATGCCAGCCAGCCCCGCCCCCTGGTGGGCTGAGCTGGCCACACACACACACACACACATTAAAAAAAAAAAAATTAATTAAAAAAAAAAAGTAATTTGCCAAAAGTAGGGTGTTTATACTAAAAGGCACATATTTAAGAAACTTTAAGGTACAAATAATTTTTCCCCGGAGAGAAGTTAAAAGAACTGTTAGACTAAAAACCTTAAAATATTCTTTATCATAAAAAAATTGAAAAATTGATCATAATGTCAATGCTTTTCTGGGACAGGACTTCGTGTTTATCTCCAGACATGTATTGTGGTCCTGGAGATTGAATCTAGGGCCTTCACGCTGAGCTACATTCTCAACTCTTTTTTATTTTATTTTGAGCTAGGGTGTCACTAAGCTGCTAAAATTGTCTATGCTGGGCTTGGACTTGCAATCTTCCTGCCTCAACTTCCCAGAGCTGTGGATTAAGACATGTACTACCACCCTGGCTTTCCCCTAGACTTCTTCATACAAGGTGACTTCAGCTGACAGACTTTGCTGCTAAATGGTGCCCTGGGAAGAGGCAGGCACCATTACCTTTGTTGCTTTAACCAGCTGGTCACAAGTTCCACAGTGGTACAAGTTGTCACCGTCGAAAACTTCTTCTTCTACATACATGTTCCAGAGAGCATCTTCCAAACCAGATACATTTTTGACTGCTACTGTTAGATCTAAGAAGTCTTCCTGGAAAATACCAGAATGTTGGAAAAATAACTTTACAAAGGTTTATAAACACATCACCAACTCAAACATATACTGGGGATAGTCAGATATCTCTTTCCTAAAATGCTGTGAAATTTGTAACACTCCATTATACTGTCTAAATAAAGATATAACTCAGCTTAAAATTTTAGGAAAACATTTTATAGGGGGAGAAGTTGTATAAGTTCCATTTTCTCAGGAATAAAAAACTACAATAAAATATAGCCCTGAATTTAAATGAGACACACACACACACACATACAGAGTTTTCAGTATATTTAATCTTTAGAAGTATAACAGCAAAGTCAATATTAAATTTTTTAATGTAAACAATCTTTTTCTTTCCCTAAGGTTGGCTTAAGACATACCAAAGAAGTTGAAAGAAAAAAATTATGTTGACTTAGAATAAATAGTATTTCTATGAAAATAGAATATTTCACGAAAAGGAAGTCTAATTCTAACTAACTACCTTTGAATGCCACTATATTTCTAGTAATGATGCTATTACAATTTGTCATGTTTCAATCACATTTGTGGCCTTGTCTGTGGGAAAACAATAGGATACTAGTTAATTCATGGTAAAAATCTTAGTAAAACTAGTGTTATATTTATAATAATGTGAAAAGTTAATGTCCATAAATTATTTTTTTATGCACACTACGTTTTGCAATTTGTGAATGACATCTGTGCTGAGTCAATCATAAAGTAATTGAAAGACACAAAGGACATCTTAATTGTCTTCAAACTAGACTGATTTTCTTTTCATGTTACCAGGGATTGAACACAGGGCCTTCACTCTGAGCTATATGCTCCTCAGGGACCCTTCCCTGAATCGAGACAAGGTCTCACTAAGTTTCTAAGTTGCTCAGGTTCAACTTTCCTCTTTAGTTTCCAGAGTGCTGGGATTAAAGATGTGAGCTACCACACCTGGCTGATCAAGAAAACCTCTTTCAGCACAGTTAAAGGCCAAGAAGTATTTTTTTAAAAAAATCCATAATTCTTGAGAAAGAGGGGCTCAGTGGATATGGTTTGTCTAGCATGTATGAGCCTTGGGTTTGCTCCTTAACATCAACGGGAAAAAAAGAGACTAAATATACATGTTACACACACACACACACACACACACACACATTGTATTTCCAAGAGCAACATTTTATAGAAAACGGCATTAAATTTTCTATTCACACAAACAGAAATATTCTGCCACTTTTACCGTAATAAAAGGAGATTTTTATTAAAGGGTTCAGTGATGAAACCATCAATTGTGTAAGACAGACGTATGGAGTAAACAGTGATCACTGTACTTACAAAATTCCAATTTCTAATCTGATTAACTAGGCAATCTGTATTACTACAAAGAACTGAAGATCATAACAACTAAAACAGGATAACTTTGTACTAGTTTATATATAGTATATAAACACGAGCACAAAAAATACACTTAATAAGCTAAATCCAGTATTTAATCACAGAGGTTTGTTAGTTTAAACATTACTCAGTATGTATGTATGTATGTATGTATGTATGTATGTATGTATTTGGTATAAGGTTTCACTATGCAGCTTGGACTCATAGTGATCCTGTTTTCAGCCTCCCTAGCGCTGGGATTATAGGGGTGTGCCACCATGCTGGGTCTCGGTAGCCAGCCTAGTGGGCCCAGGGGCAGGACCAGAGCAGCATGTGGTACTGGGGATTGAACCCCAGTCCCTATGCTTGCCTAAGCAGGTGCTTAGTCTGCTGACCTATCTTGCCAGCCCTTCAACATTTTGTTTTGTTTTGTTTTTTAATGTATTTATTACAGGGTTTACAGAATCTCACTACACAGATCAGACTCATAGTGATCCTCCTGTTTTCAGTCTCCAAAACGCTGGGATTATAGGTGTGCGCCACTATGCCCAGTCTTAATCATTGTCTCAGTGCACCCCGGGGGTGGGGCAGGCATGGCACACTGGGAATTTAACCCTGGCTGCTGTGTTCTGCCAAAGCAGGACCTTTAGTCTGCTGAGCTATTTGGCTGGCCCTAATATTGTTTCTATAACCTCCCTAATTAATTTGCTTTACAATATTCGAACCACAGCACTGGCTTCTTGCATAAGGCCAGTCTTTTACCTGTAAGTATGTGCAAAGCCATTCCCCAAATATCAGATGTTATGGATGTATCTAGATGTTCCCTCAAAGTCTCATGTGGCCATAGGTGGGGCTTTTAGGAGGTGGCTGGATCAAAGTTATGTGCTGCTGGGATCACAGGTGTGATGCTGGGATTGATTCACATTAAGGTGCTAGGATTAAGGATGTGTGTGCTTCCCACCCTAGTCTTGATAAAATGTAAGGGACAGAAAAAGCTACCATTGTCACTGTTGGTCACTTGTTTGCTGTACTGCTGACTTCCACCCGCCATGCATTTGTGTCTCCTCTAAGATTACTCTCTCTGCCAGGACACCCAGCCTTAGAGTCAGCCAACTATGAACTGAGACCTCTACAACCCATGAGCCAAATCGGTCTTTCCTCTTTTGAGTGCTGGGTACAGTGTCTTAGCAATAAGAAAAATAACTAAGGCATTAGAAGACTTATTAAAAAGACTGCTTTTAAATATCTGCTTCTCTCAGTTTATATGGAGCAATCTGACTCATAACTGATGAGTTAGCTGTAGTTAAGATAAAGGTCAAGTGATAAACTATTTCTAGTTGATAAAACATTTTGATCTGTACCACAGATCACATATTTAGTCACACGAATTATAATTTACAAGATAATGTAATACTAAATACTCTTGCATAGCTACCTGTTTTTCACTGATGTTTTTACATTCTTTACAAACAATCTGGTTAACCACTGTCCCATGGTACAGACGATTGATGAGGTCATGTCCGGAGGTCCCAAATAACGAAGTTTCCAAAGCACTGAAGAGAATTCGATTCAGTTCCTGCACATCATGTTGTCTCATTTCCTATAAAACAGGTGACCCATAAACATGCTTTGGTGTACCAGATTTTACAAAAATGAAACACTAATAAAAGCACAAGATTTATCACAATCCAAGATAATTTTCTTTTTTTTATGAGAATATATTTATTGAGGGAAAGAAAGCTCCTGTCCAAGAGAGGGACAGAAGGGGGGCCTGTGAGCAGGTGGTCCCTCGACAATTTTTGATCAGATATAAAGATTATTAAGCTAAATTAGCTGAAAATAGGTTAAAAGATCATCACCTATTTTTACTTATACTATAAAATAAAAATATGAATAGGCAGCATTCAGGATGTATTTATAACTCAACCTGCCTGACAACTAGAAGGTATCTTTACTCTTATGAGGAACAGTACACATGGCCATGCCACAAGGACAGGAGGGAAGAACAGGGCAGGTTCAAATTGTGTCTAAGAGCTGCTGCTACCTAATGAAGTCACAGTGCCCTAGAATTTACTGCTGTGAAGTATAACCAACAAAAACAAGACTAACATGGTGCTACTAAGAGAAATTCCAGGAGACTTCTCCAAATGGCAGTGCTGAGTATTAGCTACTCAGCTTCTCCAGAACAAAGTGCTGAGAGTCTGGAAAACCTGGCCCAGAGAGAATCCAAAGGGCATGCTGGGCACAGGCAAGCATGCGGGAACTGATAATGGAAAAAACAAGATGCATTGCTACAGAAGAAACAGCTCACTGCTGAGATCTGAGACCATGCAGTGCAACTAGAGCAGCTGTGTGGCTGCCCTGGCGGGTGGCAGAAGCAACTTTGCTCTTCACTAGGAGACTAAGACCTGACTTGGACTGGTAAAGTCTTGTACAGTTGGAGGCAACAGTCAGGACACGAGACACTGTTTCCTGAATGCCTCCCATCCCCAATCAGCTGCTGGTGAGCGAACTAAAAAGGGGTCTAGCACGCAGTGGAGAGGAGGAACAAAAGCAGGAGGGTGGCCCCATCGTTTTATCTGAAAGGGCTCAGGACTTGAAATGCAGTAGCACAACAGCTCCAGGGCCACTTCATGGGCAACATCCCTGAATGGAAAGAGGGAAGGGTCATCCAATCACAGCAGAGAGCAGGCAGTTGGGACAGCAGACTAGGGGCGAATTCTGCCTACAAATAGGAGCTTGGACCACCTACTCTCCATTGTGCTGGGGGCCAAAAGCCAGTCTCAGCCTTAGTTACAATGGACTGGAAGCATCCCCCTGCTCTACAATCGGTGGTACAAGCAGACAAATGACCTTGGCCTACAGCGATACAAAGGTGCCCCCTCCCCTGCAACCAGTGGTACAACAAGGTCACTGCACCTGTCCTGTGACCAGACTCTCACAGGCAAGTGGCCTTGGCCACTGGCAGCACAAGGGCACTCTCTCCCATCCTGTGACATGAGGCCCAACAGGCAAAATGGACTTACCCCACAGCCAGACAAAGATGCAGTCAATTGGCCTTGGCTGGCAGAAGGACAAGGACAGTACCTCTGCCTTCTGACCATCTTGTGAAAGGCAGCAGTTGTGAGGCCAAGATCAGCCCTCCACCAGCAGTGATCCTGCTGGACTTGGTGGGGTTACTCAGTATAGATTCTGGCTCTGACCTGGGAACTAACCCAGAACTGGGGACACCAGAAGGACTTTCTTTTTTGGAGGGGTGGTTGTTTAGGTTTTGACTTTTATTGTTTCATTTGTTTACTCTATCCTGTCTGTCTTTCTTTAACAGTCTTTCTTGACTTTCTGATATTTACATGAGAATGAAATCTGTCTCTAGACTTTCTGGTTCACATTGATATTCTTTTGCTTTCTCCTTCATTCTTTCTCACTTGTTCTCTTCTCCAGCTGCCCAAGGTTTCAGTGATCATCCTATGTCCTCCACCCTGGCTTCCACTATATTTCTTTTCAGTTATTGCTCTGCTTTGTTCCCTATTCTTCTTAAGTACCCTTTCCTCATTGGATAAAATCACTCTACAAAGGGAAACTCACTGTGTACAAGTTCCTGGTTTAAGTTGGATGTTGTTATACAAGTATAGATCTTGCTCCTAGGGTAAGAGATATCAAGTCAGCAGGTACTGCAGACTGTCAGTTTTTAGGCTGTGCTTGATGCTATCATTACTGCTAACTGTACTACTTTAGCCAGGACGCTACACTTGTTGTAATCAGTTGTTCACCTTTTTATGACAACACTGTGATAATTTGGGGTCATAATCACCCCATAGTCCAGTACCAAAGGAGTGGGTGCTGTGCCACATATATAGCAATTCCTCAACTCTAATAAAGTGGGAAGATAGGACCTTGGGACAGACACAAAGACCAATAGCTAACTGTATCTAGAAGACAACTTGGAGGAACAGACACTTCCTAGAGAATCCCCCATACTGGTGATAAAACTACCTAACATAAGAAAAATTCAAATGACAATACAGAAAACAAATTAAATAGAAAATGACAAGACACAGAAGCAAGATGAAATTCCAGGCTTCTAACCCACCCAGGACAATTCCAGGGGACAAAATAGAAGAAATCAGAAGTCTACCTGAATCTTCTGGAATGACAACAGCAGAAAACAAACACAGTGTGATGTGTGTGTACATATATGTGATATGTGTGTGTGTGTTTTCTGCTGTTGTCATTCCAGAAGATTCAGGTAGACTTCTGATATGTGTGTGTGTGTGTGTGTGTGTGTGTGTGTGTGTATCTATATATATACACGAGGTTACAGATGAAAGCAGAATAGAAATAATTTTACAAGTTATAAGATGTCAACCATTATGAAGGACTTGTTCAGCACATCTAGATTAGACATAGATAAGAAAAGTAGAGGAGCATAGGAAAATAATAAAAGTATGAATGTCCAACATAGGAAAGAAGTGGAATCCATAAAACATTTAAACAAATATTCAGGAAATTAAAAATTCCACCGAGGCCGTGACTCATCCACATGGCTGACACTGACAAAAGATCTACAATCTGAGGTACAGGATCTCAGGATAAATCCTGAGGGGATTTCACTGACCTTATCAGACCCAAAAGCTACAACTCTTGTTGCATA